ACACTAATAGATATATATACTGGGCCTGTCTAGCCTAGTTATTAAAGGACAATGGGAGGGAAATAATGATCTACCTTAAAACAATCCTGTCCATCGACGCCTGACCTCCGATGGTCGTAGAGGTACATGATTCCTGGGTCGATCCTCGGTGTTCCGATCGTGTGTCACAGGTCCTCGGGCGTCGTGCAGTAATGCGTCATCACCGTAAATATTCCCTGACCAGTTCTTCCAAGCTGGCCGAGTCAATGGTCACTGAGCACGTCGCTTCCCTCACTCGCTCTTTCACCGCGACGATTTCTCATGGATCCAGATGCGATGTTTCCCTTCCGAATCTTCAGTAGATGTGACTCGGTCACGGCAGCTAGCACGTCGTACTGGGACGGGACCCGCGGGGCGTTACATATCCCTCCCAGTGTCTCCGCTCACCTCCATCGTAGACTAATAGCAACGAGCTCTTGGCGTTCTTTCGCCCACTAAACTCTGCTTCTTCCTGCTCCCCGAGAGTACACTAGTCTTCTATGATGCTCATAGACTGTTTTAGGCTGCACAATCCACTGAGCGAGGCTTCTAAGACCTCCAATCTCGAGAGCTCACTGACGTACTTCTGCTCGCGTGAAAGGTCCGTGAATCTCTGCTGGCTCAGTGACCTGCAGGTCCTGAACCAGACCTCTCGGTAAAATCACAGCCTCCAGGGGCGGGCTCTGATTGGTTACTCACGTCACGTGACCTCAGTCAGCCAATGGTCAGCCTGCTGGCGCCCTCACGGTCTTAGCGGCAACCTGATAGGGGCGTCGCCATTTTGTATGTACTAGGAGTGTAAGCCCCCCTTACCTGCAAAACTTAGAAATGATGATTTCTCCACAAGTACGTAATCTTTTCAGTTGCCTCCTTTATCAAACGATTCTCAGTATCTCAGAGAACCTGCAAGGTATGAAGATATGACTCTTTACGCTGGAACAGGAGAGAAATAGGAGAGGGCACCGTAACAATATGTGGGGAAGGGGATTGAGATCAAAGAAAAGAGTACCACTTAAAAGTGTGCTAACATGATTTCCCCATACCCGCCATCCCCACGAGAAATCTCGCAAAATCATACTAACAACGAATCTGAATTCTTTCTATTTTTTGGCCATACCGTAAACAGCATCACGCCAAAATATATAAAAAATATATTCTCATAAATAATACATCCCTTTTAACCCCCCCCCCCCCCCTCCCTTCCCAAATCTTCCTTTCTTTTCGTTAGAATTGATGGATTGTGTGTTAAAGCTCATCACTTATCAACTAACCATGTGTGAAGCATTCCTAGTGTTGAAAAGCAGAGGTGCAACAGGTACTCTGAGAGAGAACTCTATCAACATCAGAGGCCCGAGACTGTTCAACACACTTCCACTACACATAAGGGGCATAACTGGCCGACCCCTCACAGTGTTCAAGAGAGAACTATCAACATCAGAGGCCCGAGACTGTTCAACACGCTTCCACTACACATAAGGGGCATAACTGGCCGACCCCTTACAGTGTTCAAGAGAGAACTATCAACACCAGAGGCCCGAGACTGTTCAACACGCTTCCACTACACATAAGGGGCATAATTGGCCGACCTCTCACAGTGTTCAAGAGAGAACTTGATAAACACCTTCAAAGGATACCTAATCAATCAGGCTGTGACTCATACATCAGGCTGCGAGCAGCTGCGTCCAACAGCCTGGTTGACCAGACGACCAACCGGGTGGCCGGGTCGAGGACCGGGCCGTGGGGACGGTAAGGCCCGAAATCATCGCAAGGTAGAGGTCAACACTGACACTGGGTCGTCACGGAACACTAGGGTCTCTCTTCTCAGATTGCAGGGAGATAAGTAGATAGATAGATAGATATATAGAGAGAAATAGAGACCACGAAAGAGTGTTAGAGAGCGAGAGAGAGAGAGAGAGAGAGAGAGAGAGAGAGAGAGAGAGAGAGAGAGAGAGAGAGAGAGAGAGAGAGAGAGAGAGAGAGAGAGAGAGAGAGAGAGAGAGAGGGGGGGGTGCCAAGGTACCAGAGGCACCTGTGGTTGGCCTTTTGGGGTCGAATGTCTACTTCAATTATCTGTTTTGCTTCACTCCTGAAACTCAGGCGTATGCTGATAATATATTCTAACCTTGATATATGGGAAGAAGAAATACCAGCAGCTACGAGGGGTCATCACCCTCTTAATATCATCACGGGGAAGGTGATTGTAGGTCACATTTCCAGTTGAGAAAACACTGGCCAAGATGATAACAAGACAGAATGATATTGCAAATCAGATAGGCGTACAAATGAGTGGCGAAAGCCAAGTGCTTAGTGATGAAGTCGACATATTTGGAATGAAGTTTGACACTTCAATGACCATAAAAAGACAAATGCTCAACCTAGCAAGCAAGGCAGTCATTAAATTTGTTTTTTTTTCGAAACACAAGAGTAAATATAAGTGTGAAAAAAGGTTACTTATTAAAGAAATAAATTTATGGTCAACAAA